CATGCAACCGAGGTACATGTGATTTGCAAGGATAAACGTAAGCGGAAGATGATAGAAGATAATTCAGCTTCTGTAAAAAATTCACCAAGAAATGGCAGCATAGCAGCAACAAATGTGTTTATTGTTAGATAACCACCTCTCACCATAATTCTGAATGACAAGTTGCGAAAAGCCAATGCACTTCCTTTGATTCCATAAGTTGTGTCCATAAATTCGTACATTGGACTCGCAAATATCTACAAATACAAGATGGAGCCCAAAATTTAGTGCAGCAATAAATCCAAAGGAACTGAAAAAGGGGAACATGAAAAAGGAGCATGGTTGGACATTTAGGTCTCCAAGAAGATAGAAAAAGCAGGGTAAGGGGGGGTGATTGTCACATGCAAAGCGATGACAGTTTGCAAGAAGGCAGCAACATTAGCCATTGTCTTCACCCAAACTGGACCATTAACACTGTTGAGCAAATAGGTCGAGGTGTTGGATCCATAAGCCCAGTAACCCATGAAAGTAACAGTATACAATGGCAAAACTCCTACGGTGAACTGAAAGAAAAGACCTTTCATCATGTTCTTAACCACAGGTTGTCTCACTGTTGCCTGTTACAAGAATAACACAAGAACTTGTGAGGATTGAATGCAAACAAAGAAAACAAAATGAAACAAAATAAATTAAAGGGGTGAAAAAATTGCAGGATGCTGACTGCTTTAGAGTAATCAGTGGCACTGCTCCACTACTTCTAGGAACTCAATAATTAATAATAGGCCAGTTAAAAATACAATTAATAGTAGGGTTTTGACATTTTTCAGTTAGCTGATAGCTCTTAGTTTCCATGTCGAAGACCAGCCAAATTTGGAGGAGGGAAAGCTATTATATGCGCAGATGACATGTTATACACCAAGTGTTTATGTTGGGTGCAATAGATAAGAAAATTAAGAGGTGAAATAATTCAAAAAACAATCGATCTTTGATATCCAAAAAGACACTTCAAATGCATGGGATCATGTGTTTAGGTGATGATGAAGTTTTCAGTAGTAGTAGTGATGCTAATTTATCCAAAAACTAAATAAATTTGTTGGATAATCATTAACAGGACATAATCTTTTACTACAGAGCTTGCATATAAATAGAGATCCAGGCATGTTTGGGAGGATGCATAGATCAGGTAATGGCTGGCCTGATATTCTCATAAAAGGATTTCTGGCCTACCTGTATCTCTGGAAGCATTCCTGTATTGAATGCAAAAACTGTATTTGCAGCTGCACCAATAGTTGAAAAAATCTTGGTCGTTGTTGTTCCTGGAATGCTGTAGTCCCTGGCTGGAGCTTCAATTCCTATAGCAATATAGAAAATAAATAATGTCATTTTGAAGTCAAAGACGTACCTAACTGCAAAGGAATAATCACTCTAACAATATGATAATGTATGGAATATGGATGTCCAATTAAACTCCTGGAGGATCTATCCTCTGCGATCACAACATGCCCAAGCTGCTTGATTGCACACAAGAAGTCTACACAATAATGCATCACATTTTTCTTCATATAGCAAGCTTGTCAATGCAGCCCTGAAAAGCCAGATGATTAATTTTCCCAGACAATTCTCGGCCCAAACAACTAGGTAAGTAGAGCAGATGGCTCTGTGTTGGTTGTCAAGATAACAGCCCAGGAACCTAGGTAACATTGACACAACAAGCAATTTGGTGTCCATGATGGAAGCAAAATCTAATTCCAAAGGCTTTTTTTTGGCAGTGCTATAGAGGTTAGAAAGGCAGAAAAACCCATTAATTGGAAATTAATCATGAAGCAATGCTATTTCTTCTTGAGTATTTAGCAAAATTAGGAATTTTGGTCATCATGACAACATCCATAATACATGTTAAATAAAAAGAAACAGATAACCCCCCCGCACGGAAAAGTTAAATCAAAATGCCTGGCGTTTCTAATAAAAGCTAGCATTATGGACATTATTAATGACAATCAAGAAGAGTAGGAGATCAAACCATCTCGAAGAGACAGCACAAATGTTGTGACGATATACACTAGACTGAAGAATGTTGAAAATCCCAGCCAAACCCTTAAAGCTGACAAATGGGGTATCCCAATGGCAAAAAGGCCACATGCAAAACCAGCTATTGCAATAAAGTATGGGAGCTTCATGACATGGTCATCCCTAAACAGAACATAGATAGCCTGCATATGAAATAAACAAAATTAGGTATTCAGCAAAAAGCTTTGGCATCTCATCATGATATCTCCCCTTCTGCAGTAATACGGAGAACATGTTTTAAATAACGAAGCTCATTGAGACTTATTGAAATACTTCAGAAATTTGAGAAGTTTATGGACAAAGTAAACAAATAAAACCAGCAATAATCAAGATCACAAACAAGATATTTGCGATTCTAGTAGATGTGGTTGGGTCAGAAGAACACATTCCTTTGAATTGAGCTCACCTTTAGAGCCTGACCAGCCAAAATGATATATCCAGTGTTAATCATAAAAAGGTTCACATATTGGAATGCCCATGTAAGAGAATAAGCATTCGGACCTGCAACAGTGAAAGGCTCAATTCAATGAAAGCAGTTTTAAATAGATCATACACTTTCAAGCTGTCAAGAGACAAATGGAATCAGATTGATATAAAGAATTCATGTCCATTTTTATTTTCATTTGCCTCTAGTTTTTTCTGTTCTTACCATATATAAATCCTGCAAGGTCTCTGTATCTGATATGCCTCCTCCCACCAAATTCGTGGAGCTTGGCAACAAGAGAATTTGCATAAAGCGAAATGGCTGTGGCTACAATTAAACCTATCACGCCTCCTATCCAACCGAGAGGAACCATGACAGCACCAGAATATCCCAGCACATATGCACTGTTGATACCAGTGGTCAGAACAAATCCCACTTGAAACCATGAATCTACAATTCTCAAAGCAGGTAAAATAAACAATATCAAGCCATTAGAAATTCACTAGCGAGATATAATCGTATATAGACATCCAAAACATGTAAAGTTCATAGCC